CACTGAGTGAACTTCTAAATCTGTCCTGAATCATTTTTCCATTCCCTTGTATCTGGGCAAGTCCTTCACACCAGCTTCTGTTTCCCTGCTTTCCAGTCTTAAACACTCTGATACAGGACATGGAAAATTTATAGGATGAACTCCCTCCAGAGCTCGTTTACTGAACAACCAAGGAAAACTGCTTCAATCTCTGCACTGTGTGTCAGTTCTGCATGGGTTGGTTTGTCCTGCTCCCAGGACAGCAGGGCTGCCTGCATTCCTGACAGCTGCTGGGATCAGGTGGGGTTCCCAAGGAAAGCACAGTGGGTGAGCACACACCCACAGCCAAGGAGAGCTGCTTGTTCCAGGTGACAGGCAGGGGTTATTTTTTCCCCAGGACACTTTCCTGAGGAGTGTTTCCTGGCTCTGTGTGTTGGCACAGCTCCCTTCCTCATACTTGCAGCAAGCTCAGTCCAGACTAGTTGGTACAGCTGAAATTTTTGCTTGGGACCTACGTTTTCCTTCTCCTTTAGGTCATAACGACCTGCAAACAAAACAGCTGGGGCTGAGGGGGGGTTCTCCTGCCTCTCCCTTTCAGCTGCAGCCCAAATCCCTGGGACAAAGATGTCCTTCCAGCTGAAGATCAGCTGGGTGCACAGACCTGGCAATAAAAACCCCCATGAGCTCATGGTAGATCTGTTGCTGAAGCAGTTTCTTTTCATTGCACAGATCGAAGAGGAGTTGTGGGAAGAAGAATTTATCGAGCGCTGTTTCCAAGAGATGCTGGAAGAGGAGGAGGAGCATGAATGGTTTATTCCAGCCCGTGACCTCCCACAAACAATGGATCAAATCCAGGACCAGTTCAATGACCTTGTTATCAGTGACAGCTCGTCGCTGGAGGATCTGGTGGTAAGCTCAGCTTCTCATCTTATCCCTAAAGCTCAAGTCTTTGTGCAAGGCTGCTTGTGGTAAGAGAAAGTCCTTTCCAGCAGGAAGGAGCCTGTTAAACCCTGCCTGGCTGTGCAGTGTAAGTGGGAAGGATGTTTCCTCGTGGGATGTGACCTGTTTGGTGGCTTTCTTCATACCCACGTGGAGCCTTTCCCAGCCCATGGCACAGCTCCAGGAGTGGGTGGGATGTTAGGAAAGAAGGGCACTGAGTGGAGCCGGGGCTGGGAAAGGGTCACTGGGTATCTGCCAGCACTGACACGCTGGGCTGCTCTGAGCCCTGTCCCAGAGTCTGGTTGGGATTGGGAGAACCACAGAGACATGTAAAAAATCAATACAATGCTCATACACACAAAATTCCCAGAAGTTGCTGAAGTTCCTGGAACAAGTCACCTCTTGCTTAAATAAGCAAAATTTAGAAACCTCGTGGCACGTTTGAGCAGCTCAACTTGAGAAAAGGCTATTTCAGCATGAGGGGAGCTGCTGTGGTCGGTGCATGCCTGTGGTTTGCTGCTTACTCCCTGAGCCCTCAACCAGCTGAAAATTCAGGTGGAGCTAAGGAAGGTTGGATAACTCAGGGAGTAGCACAGGGGAATGGGCTTTTCTGGGGATTATAGACTGCTGCTAAGTGTAGGAAGCCTATTGTATACCTGATTGTTACTCTAAATCCATAAACCTTTGCCTCTAATTGTCTTCAGCTTGAAAATAGAAGCTGAAAATAATGATTCACCTCAATTTCTGTTCTTCCCTTCCTCAGGTCAAGAGTAATCTGAATCCAAACGCAAAGGAGTTTGTTCCTGGGGTGAAGTACTTAAACATTTGAGTAGACTGGGCCCTCTTTTGGTGGATGTAGCACAATTTCCACACTGTGAAGCCAGTATTAGAAGATTTAATTGTAAAAGCTCTCTCTTCTTGTCACTGTGTTACACTTATGCATTGCCAAAGTTTTGTTAGTCTTGCATGCTCAATAAAAGTGCTGAGACTGTTATTAAGTAAATCTGTCAAAAGTTTAATGGAAACATAATTGGGCCCTGGCTCTGTGCGAAGGAGGCAGTGAGGTAAGAAGCACCAGTCAAGTTGAGACAAAGTACCACGTTAATAAAACCTTCTGCAGACTCTGACTTTTTAAACAGGACTTGGAATTTGCGGTGAATGGTCTGTTTTTAACTAAAGATGTGTTAACTGGTGCTAGCTTGCACCTGATAATGCCTTAACTTCCAAGTGAAAGTGAGGAGATCTGATTGTTATGCAAATTAGCTAACTTTCCTTTGAGGTATCAGTGTTGTTACTAACGTTAATTTCCCCCCTTGCAAAACATCATGATCCTGGGAAGCAGCGTGAGCTTAACCCAAATCTCACAGACCTGTACAGAGTCGTAGATCTCAGCTCCTGAACTAACATCCAGGCGATTGGGAGGAAGCAGTTCCCTGTCCTTTGCAGTGTGTGATCACATTAGAAACCTTTCCTTCCCGTGCTCTCCAGGGAGGTGTGAGATCCACCTCAGTTCCTGCCAGGAACAGGCACCCTACATAGCACTGCCTATGGAACCCTTAGCATCCCGACTTCCCACAGCTGGATTTAACCAGGCAAACCCCTGCATTAGTGATTTGAGTGGTGCTTTTCCCTTGCTTTGTTTAATCATCACTACACAATAGTCTACAGCACAACGACTTTTTGGGGTTTTTTTGGTTTTTTGGTTTTTTTTTTTCTTTTAATAAAGCTAGAACAGTTTTGGCTTCTTAAACTTCATATTTGGGTAGGTTAAGCTGCCATACGTGTTCAGTGTGAATAGTGTTTAAGTTGAAAATATTGTAAAAAAATTATATTTTTTCAAAAATATTTAAAAAAATAAATAATAGTAGAACTGATGTGGTGGCTGTCTCATAACTGGGCATCTGGCAGGGGAACTGGCTTGGCAGCGTGAGGAGGACAGGGCTGGCCCTTGGAACCCCATGGCTCAGATCCTGGCTGAAGCTGGACTCTTCATGGAATCACAGACTGCTCTGGCTTGGAAGAGACCTCAGAGATCCAGTGCCATGGGCAAGGGCATCTTCCTGTCCCAGGCTGCTCCAAGCCCTGTCCAGCCTGGCTTCGGATGCTTCCAGGGGTGGGAATTTATTCCTCTCCTCCCACTCTGTGCTCTCACATCCTTTTCCCTGTGCCTGTTCCCAGCCTGGCCCTGCTCTCCGCCCTGGGAGCAGCTGAGGGTGCTCAGAAGCTGCTCCTGGTGCCCCCAGAGCTGGAGTCGAGTCCTGGCTGCAACAGCTTCTCCAGCCCCATCCACTCCTGCTTCATGGAACACCCTGGGTCTGACCCGCAAGGATCGAGGCCAGGCCCTGCTCAGGACAGCCTGGCTCTGCTGTTAGGATCGCCATTTTAAACCGGGATTAAACCGGAGCTGCAGCTCTGCAGGATGGGCAGGGTGAGGCAGGGTCTTCCTGCAGGGGTTCCCCGCAGCAGAAGGGCCTTGCTGGGCCAGCCCAGAGCCCCAGGAGGAGCCTCTCCCTCCGGGGGAGCTCAGCTGCACCAGCCCCTGCTGCTGCTGCTCTGCAGAATGATAATGGGGCTACCCCAGCTCCGAGCTGGGCACTCACCCCTTCCCTTCCCTTTCCTTCCCTTTCCTTCCCTTTCCTTCCCTTTCCTTCCCTTCCCTTCCCTTCCCTTCCCTTCCCTTCCCTTCCCCTGGCAGAACTCCTCCAGGACTTCCAGTGTCCTGGACCAGTAACACACAGCTGGTTTCTATCTGCAGTGGGAGTTCCACCAGCGAGCCCTGCGTGGCTGCAGTTTGCCCATGAGCTTCAGCCTGGCCACCATCACCTCGGGTGGTGGCAGCTGAGCGCAGGATCCAGGTGTGGAGCAGCCAGCCTGGCCACAGCTGCTCTCCTTGCTCTGGCTTTATCCCTCTGTGGTCTCTCACAGCACTGGGATGTTCACTGGGGAGGAGCTGCCCCGCCGGCTTCGGGCTGTGCCCGCAGCAGAGCTGGTGGCACCTGGAGCAGCACCGGAGCTGTCCCCAGGCTCCTCAGTCCTGCTCCAGCCAGGGTGGGCTGGGGGACAGGGAAATGGGACCTGCTTGGCCAGAGAGGTGTCACACACTGTGACACCAGGACAGCAGCCACAGAGGGGGCTCAGAGCCTGGCTGGTGCTCGTGGGAAGTGGGGAGTGGTGGTATTTGCAGCCCTTGGGGTTTATTTTAAGTTAGGGTGGGGATTTTTTTCCCCTCGTCTTCACTTTGAACAGATTTTCTCACTTCTCTCCCTGCTGGGGCTGGGGAGCGAGCGTGTGACGGTGCCACCCCGGGCTGTGACAGGCTTGTGCAATGTTTCCTCAGCTCAACTTTGGTGCTAAATCCAGGCCCAGGACTGGCCTGGCCCCGCTGCCTTGGGGGTCAGCCACCTCTGTGCCTGCAGCTGAGCACGGGGCAGGGTCACCAGCACGGCCGGCACCGGGCCGGAGCTCCAGAGCTCCCGCAGCAGGAAGGGTTTGCCGAGGGCTTGTGCTGAGCCACCTCTCCCTCAGCACCGGCTCCAGGCAGCACCTGGAAGAAATCCAGCGTGTCTCCGTGCCTGGCAGCCCAGGAGGAGCACGGTCAAAGGTGCTGCTGCCTTTGCACCAGTGAAGTCCTCCAAGGACGAGGGAACGGGGCAGGAGGCAGCAGAGGCTCTGGCGGGGTACGTGCACTTGAATATTTTATCACTTTTAATGTATCATCTTAAATTTAGCGTCCTAACGCTGGTCTGGACCCTGCCCCACGCAGAGCCCGTGCCAGCCGCTGGGTCACCGTGCCAGAGCCGAGGGCACAGCCTGAAAATCCGTGGCCCCGGGTGGGAGTTGGTGGCCCCGGGTGGGAGTTGGTGGCCCCGGGTGGGAGTTGGTGGCCCCGGGGCTCCGGCTGGCTCCGATGTGGCTGCCGGGCTCCAGCAAGCGCTGGATGAGTCTCAGCCCGCTAGAGCTGCGGGTGGAGCGTGGCGCGGGTGGCGGTCCCCAGGCTGTACCCCGGGGCTCGGGTCCCCCAAGAGCAGGGTTGTGTTTCCCTAGCCCCGCGTTCGAGCCGAGCTCCAGCAGCCTCGGCTTTGGCCTTGGTGGGCGACCCCCGGCAGCCCCCCTGGAGCTCGGCTCGGCTCCTCCGGCGCTGGGGCGGGACCTCCCGGGCCCCTCCCCTGGCTCAGACCTTGGTGCACACCGAGCCCCCGTCCGTGCCGTCCGGGCCCTCCGCGGCTGCCGTGGCCCTGGCCCGGGCCCTGAAGCCGGTGAAGAGCGGGCAGATGGGCACGTTCCTCAGCCAGCGGCTCCTCCGCACCGCGCCCATGCCCACGGGGAAGTCGTAGCTCCTCAGGCTGGCGCTGCTCGTGCTGTCCGAGTGCGCTCCTGCCTTCCACTGCACCAGCCCTCGCTCCTCCTGCGTCCCTGCGGGATGTCCGGTGTCACCCCCGGCCCTGCCACCCCCGCTGGCAGCTCCGCATCCCCGGGATCTGCCCCTCCCCGGCCCGGGCGCTGCGCTCACCGGGGATGGTGTTGTCCAGGACGAAGGCGATGGTCCCCCCGACGAACATCTCCGTGGTCAGCAGCACCGTCAGGATCTGGTCCAGCTCGGCAACACCTGCGAGAGCGTGGGACGGAGCCGGGGGTGCTGTGAGGAGCCGGATTTCCCCGCTGCTCCCCCGGGAAGGGAGATTTACCCTCATCTCTCCACAAACTCCCAAAATTGCGGCTTTTCGTGGCGGACGGTACCTGTGTTAATGGCCCCGGGGTGGGAATCCAGGTAGTTTGGCAGCGTCAGCCCGAAAAACATGGCAAAGCCCAGCACGAAGAGGTTTCGGGAGGAGTTCATGTCGACGAACTGCAGGTTGGAGAGGCCGACGGCCGTGATCATTCCTGCCGGCAGAGACGCGGCGATGCAGGCGGAGGGGCCCGAGCTGGGCCGGGCATCGGGGGCTGCCCCAGCCGCGAGGAGCCCCCGTTCCCCCCCAAACCCTCCCTGCACCCTTGGGCTCTCCAGGCCCCGAAGCTGCGGGGACGTGGCCCAGGGCTGGGTTTGGGGCAGAAAGTTACCGAACAAGGTGCAGAACATCCCGCCGAGCACGGGGTCGGGCAGGGAGGCGAAGAGCGCCGTGAATTTGCCGACGGTTCCCAGCAGGAGCATGATCCCGGCTCCGTACTGGATCACCCTCCTGCTCCCCACCTGCAGCGAGACACCGGCGGCAGCTGACAGCGGCCGAGCCCCCGGCCCGGCCGGGACCCCTCCCCGGCCGCGGTACCTTGGTGATGCCCAGGACGCCGATGTTGGGGCTGGAGGACGTGGAGCCGTTGCCGGTTCCCAAGAGCCCCGCGATGATGCAGGAGATGCCCTCGGTGAAAATGCCCCTGGGGAGCAACAC